CTCTGCAGGCGGCACGGCGGAAATATTAGAAATGCGAATGAGATAAAGCCGGGATAGGAAGGGCAGGGCATGGGCACACCAACAGGGGCGAGGTGAGGGGTAGGGGGGGGGGTGCCAACTCTTGCAGCAGTGGTAAGCGCGCCAGTAACCTCTGTTATGTTGTTGTGGAAGGACGAGCGTCTCCTAGCCCTATTGCTGGTCTTTTCTGAAACTCTTCGTTATGGTTGGCCAACTTCTCAAACTGTAGGATTTCCTACTGTTGGTGCCCAGGGGACAGAGCACGCGTCACTCAATTCGTGGCAGTGGCACTTCTTCACTGTTGAGTGTTCAGAGTACGTCACTCAAACTGTTGTAGCACTTCCACGCTGTTGAGTGTTCAGAGTACGTTACTCAAACTGTGGCATGCCGAAGGATGTGCACTTCCCCAGTGTTGTTGAGTGTTCAGAGTACGTTTCTGAATCCGTGGCACTTCCCCACTGTTGAGTATTCAGAGTACGTAACTCAAACTGTAGTACTTCCCCGCTGTTGAAGGCATGCCACAGGATGTGCATACTTGAGTGTTCAGAGTATTTTCAATGACTTCGGCTCAGATCGGTGCCGGAAGTGCGAGCTCGGGGAGCTTCACGGTGCGGGTGGCTGGTGGGGGATGGGACGGATAGTGTCGAGGGCGGGTCGCGGCCGGAGGCGCCCTCTAGCGGCGCGGGGTGGCGCCGGCCGGGCCACCGACCCCCGCTAGTAGTCCGTCTGGCCGCTGCGCGGGGGTGGGCGCCACCGGCGGCGTGTTGTGACGGCGCAGACCACGTGACCGGCTGGCGGCGCGACCCCGCGCCTCAGGGCCGTGCCCTCACACTGAGAAAAATTTTTGGTCCTGAGCACTAAATATTTTGTCCGGAGACCGAAAGTTTGGACGCACTAATGCGTTTTGTCCTGGGCACCAAAGTTTTGCTGCCGAGCTTCAAAATTTTGTTGCCACGCACAATAATTTTAGTGGCCGGAAGTAACTTTTTTGTGCTAGGAACAAAGCAGGACGCATTAAACGACCGTCTAGTGCCCGGCAGGAAAAAAAATTCTCAGTGCACATTGCACCCACTGTAAAAGTTAGTTACTTTTCTTGCCCGAATAGAGCGACCTTCGTCGCTCTGTTAGAGCGATGTTTGCGAAATAACTCATTTTCAGTTTTATTCGTAACCGAAAATGTCGCAAAAATTACTCGAAACGAGCGTAGTTCACTGATATCGCCCCAGGAGTCATGAAATTGGATTCAGAACATCGCTCTCCCAGGAGCGACTTTGCCGGACTTTGCTCTTTCATTGACTTGCAGTGAGTTATTCCAAAAGGTGTGTCCATTACTGTCTCTACAAATAAAAGGTTTCAAGACCTTTAGGAATGTAGCTGCTTTCTCAGTTTTTGCCAGGACTCCTACAGCACGTTGTTGATCCCCCGCCCCTAATCCCGAGACGTGCTTTCAGGTGGGAATGGCACGCCTCGCCCCGAGGGGATGCCGAACGCATTGCTCCCCCTTCCCCTCTCTCCTCGCTCACAACGACACGGAGCAGACAGGTAATTCCCCCGACAAGGCGCCCCCTCCCCTCTCGCGCCTCCGCGCGCGGGGGCCCTTTTCGCATTAAAACGCCACAATATTGCGAGAAGAAGTGCAGTTCGCCAAATCCCCGGCAGGCAGACAGACATTGCAGTGCAGAGTTATTGCCTCCGGAGAGCCTCGAGGAATAGTTGGAGGAGGTGGGGGGGGGAGCTTGAGAGAAACGCCCTTTCCCTTTTCGCACGCTGCAAACATACAGTGAAGTCATCGCCAGTCGGCCATTTACACCCTTCGCCGCTCTAAAGCAACAGCTCTTGTTGATTACTTCTGTATTAATTTATGTAAATAACAGTTAGTTTCAATTGCCGCGACTTTAACTGAAAGTAGCGTCTTCTGTTTGTTCAAGTTTGTGCCCCGTGAAGAAACCCTGGGCCCCTCGCACGTGCACGCATGAGGCTATGGCGTGTCAGTCAAAATCGACTGGTCCATTCGCACTGCCCTCAACTTCCCTCGAATGGCCTCCTCCACACCCAAGTTGAAAGCCCTCTCGAGAACGACTTGGACCAAGTTGGGAGCCGATGCGTATGGGGGGGAGGGGGTGGGGACTGTCCTCTTCCGCTCCCCTCCCCCTCCCACTCCATCACTGCCTCTCTGCGTCTCCGTCCCTCCACACAAAGAGTACCCCGCGTTTACTGGCAGGAAGATGAGAAGGAAGGCCGTCGGGGAACTTGTGTGCAAAGTGAATCAGAGCTCGTTACGCGCCGAGGAGGGGGGGGGGGGGCTACTTACTCCGCTGATTGCTCCCCACGTCTCACCCCCACCAGCGCCCCTCACCCGCAGTGTCCTCGCCGAGGGGCACTGGTGGCGGATAAGGACCGTGGCGAGGACACTCTTCTATGTGTGTACTAAGACGAACACGAAGAAAAAAGTTCCGGCCAGACAACAAAACTGAGTTTGGGTTGTTCTGAAGAAGAACAATTTTTAATAGTACACCTAATCAGTTTCGGTGTTCGACCGAAACCTGTAGACTCTGCAATAGAACCTTTGGTGACCACGCTTGAAAAAGTTTTGATGTACTTTTCTTTCAAATTTGTCCTTACTTTTAGGCGTATACGGCTCGAACTTTCCTCTCCGTGCATCGCTCTTGTTGCAGATGGACGTGCTCGCCCTGCCCGAGCTCGTCCTCGTGGAGGTGCTGCGCCTCCTGGACGCCGCGTCGCTGCTGAACTGCCGCCTGGTGTGCCGCCGCCTCCTCAGCCTGACGCGCGTCCCGCGGGTCTGGAGCCACCGGCGCGTGCAGCTCGAGGATGACGGCCGTGAGAGACGTGGTCGTGGCTGTGTCCCGCTGCACCTGGCGCCCTGTGTGCGGGAGCTGCTTGTCCGGGGTCGCGTGCGGGACGCTCAACTAGTCACGCAGTGCCCGGTGGAGAAGCTCGTCTTGGACAATTTGGACCTGGTGAGCGCGTCTACCCTGCTCCGCAACCAGGTCAGACTGGGCCGCCTCAAGGAGCTGTACTACCGCACCAACGGCCACAGCAAGAAGGACGAAGCAGACTTCGCCGCGCTGCTGGGCACCATTGCGGCCGCCTCCGGGACTCTCAGTTATCTGTGCTTCGAAGCATTCGAAGACGAAGACTATCCTGCCGACGCTGACCGGTCGATGGACGAGCTGAGGAGCGCCTGCAACGTTGTCGTTGCACCATCTTTGGTTGGAATGCGCTATGAAAGTGAAGCTGTAATCGACCCTTTCCTGGAGAAGCTGCTCGCCGCCCACGCCTCTACTCTCAGAGATGTATGGCTTTCGTCGCCTGACATGACGACATGGCAACGCTTCAGCTTTCCGCTCCTAGAGAAACTGACTTGCTGGACCCGGGCCGGGGTGGCCAGCTTGCTGCAGTTTCCGGCGCTCAAGACATTGCGACTCCGCGTGGATGGGCAGGGGCCACTTCAGGAGGTCGTCAATGTGCTGCGCAAAGCTACCTCCATAACGGACTTGACGATATCCTACCAGGAAGAAATCGATGTTGGCGAGGAGTGGCTAAACCTCGTGCAGGTCGTAGCACAGTCGGGCTGGTCCAGTTTGAGCAGACTCACCATTGATCAAAGTCATCATGAAGTCTACGAACTCTTTGAGCGTTGGCGTCAGTGGCGTATGGTAATCCATTCTCACTGGTTCATCAGTCCCCGGCTCTGGGAGCGCGTGGCTGCCGCCCTACCGACCCTGCCTGCTCTCCGGGAGCTGCGCCTCGGCCTGGGTGATACCAAGGAGCAGCACTGGCAGCCTCTGATGGCGGCGATTCGCCCGCACACCACGCCACGCATCGAGCGCCTCCACATTCTCCATCTCTTCAACGAATGCCTGGTCTGCTGGCCCCACCAAGAGAGTGTGAAGGAAATGCTGGTGGCGAATGCTAGTCTGCAGCTCTATATATATGATGATGTGTTTGACAAGGACACTTATTCCAAGAAAAACCCGTGTACTCGTTGTTCTCACAGATTTTGATGCAAGGAGTCACGTTTTTATAAACTCGGACTCCGCTTTAATTAACTGTGCTTGAAGAAGTTTATTTTGATTTGTGAAATAAATACGGAATACAAATTCATCAGCAGTAATTTCTGTTTTAGACTACACCTCCTCCCTGTAGTCAGAAGTTGTAAGGAATGGGAGTAAGTTTCTGAAGCATTTCGCCGTTGTATACGGATTTTATCGTAAATTAACGAACAAACGCCTGTTAAATTTTATACACAAACTATTCGTTATTGCTTAGAAAACAAGTACTTGTTAACTGACGAAAAGTTCGTAATTTTTCCTTGATTCTAAGTTATCCATGTCATTGTGCACCCCTGTAGACAAATTACGAAATCTACTAACAGTGTATTCAGTACATTCTGCGTACATACTGTGAGTGTATCAGAGCAATTACCCCAGTGTTGCGGGTTTGCATACCTGCTTCTTGGCCTGGAGAAGGGCCCATGGCGCCTTGCGGGGGTCTTCCCTCTTCCCTCGGCAGTTCAAGTACATAGATCAGAAATATATTTACCCCAGTAATACGTTGTAATGAAGTAGCCCTGATAAATGCGGTATGCAAACTCAGTTCGAGGCGATTATTGGCCACATTGCATTAAATATGTGAACAAAACTTGGGTGTGCTAGATGTGGGGCGGGGCGCCTC